CATTAGGCAAACCTTTTCGTAAAGGACCAGAGAGTAAATATTTTAGGCTTTGTGGGCTCAGAAGCAAAATTGAGGTATTTCATAGGCAATTATATAACTATTTAAAAATGTAAAAACCGTTCTTAGCTTACAGGCTCCCTAGCCTTCATAAACCAGGGGGATGACTGGATGGATTTGGACTGTAGGCTATAGTTTGCTGGACCCTATAATTTCTCTCAGTAACGCTGTAGACAAGCCCTGGTGGCACAGTGGTTAAAGACTATGACAAGCTACGGCTGCTAACCAAAAGGTTGGCAGTTTGAATGTACCAGCGGCTCCTTGGAAACCCTGTGGAACAGTTCTACTCTGTCCTATATGGTTGCTATGAGTCGGAATTGCCTCAACGGCAACAGGTTTGCTTTTGGAATGTTGTATGTTTTGTGTTGAGGACCTGCCCATCTGCTGTTGGATTTATTCCCAGCTTCCAGTTCTTTTAACTTAAATTTTTATTTTTTTATTCATTTATTTTTACATACATTGTTATCAGACTGCAACCGCTCACCCCATTCTGCGACAGCACATTCCTCCTCTCCACCCGATTCCCCATGAACATTCAACCAGCTCCGCTCTCTGCCTTCTCATCTCACCTCTGGACAGAAGCTGCCCCTTTAGTCTCTTGTATCTATTGACTACGAGGCACAGTCTTCACGAGTATCACTTTATGTCCCACAGTCCAGTCCGATCCCTGTCCGAAGAGTTGGTCTCGGAAATTAGTTCTGGGGTGATAGAGAGTCCAGGGGCCACACTTTCTGGGGCACCTCCAGTCTCAGTCAGACCATTAAGTCTGTTCTTCTTACTAGAATTTGAGTTCTGCACCCCATCCTTCTACTGCTCCATCAGGGATCCTCTGTTGTGTTCCCTGTCAGGACGTTCATTGGTGGTAGCCGGGCACCATCTAGTTCTTCTGGTCTCAGGCTGATGAAGTCTCTGGTTTATGTGGCCCATTCTGTCTCTTGGGCTATTACTTTCCTTGTGTCTTTGGTATTCTTCATTCTCCTTTACTCCAAGTGGTTGGGACCAATTGATGCATCTTAGATGGCCACTTGCAAGCTTTTAAGACCCCAGACGCCACTCACCAAAGTAGGATGCAGAACATTTTCTTAATACCCAGCTTCCAGTTTTCTAATTCTCCCTTCAGCTGTGTCTAACTTTCTGTTAAAACCTTCCCCTAGTTTCTTAATTTTGTTTATTGGATTTTTTTAAATTTTAGAATTCAATTTTTTTTTAATGTACAGCTATCTGCTGCAAGTTTCAAACTTGTGTATCTCCTTGAACATAGCAAGCGGTTATTTTAAAGTCTGTGTTTGATAACTCCAAAATCATTGAGTCACCTTGGACCCATTTCTGTTGTCTACTGTTTTGCTAGTTTTCTTATTGTCTTGCCTCCTTATGCGCCTGGTTACATTTTATTGTATTCAGGACATTGTATTAGCAAATTTGTTTGTAGAATTTGAAGCCTGGGGTGACGTCTTACTAGAGTTTTTGTTGGCCTATGCCAAGTGTTTTGGGGGAACTACCACTCTGGGATCACCTTAATCTAATTTCAAGGACTGAGATCATTGGAAGCTGCACTGTAATGCCCTGAGGAAGCTGTTCTATTTTCTACTTCTGGTTCACTGTTATTCTCAGGGTGCAAACGAATGAGGGTGTCAGCCCAAAGTGAGGGAGGTTCACCAGGTCAACCACCCTTATGGCAGGCCCTGTCCTCCTACTTCTAGAAGGCTGTCAGAATCACTGCTCAGCCTCTGAACTGCCTCCTCCAAGTATGGCATATACACCAGGGAGAATACTGGCCCATACCAGTGAGCTCATCTCCCAGCACCTCCATCTTCTCTGTGGTCCTGGTCCAGTAATTCTGCAAAATCACGTCAGCCCTCTAATGCTTTCAAACAGATTTTAAAAATATTTTGTCTAGCTTTTCTAGTTGCCCTCGATGGGATGGTGGGAACAAATCACCTATTCGCCACTACCAGCAACAAAAGTCCTTCCTGAGTTATTTATGTTGGAGTTACCTGAGCAGTCTCAACATGGTAGCGACGTGTAAAATGTCAACACACCACTGTCCATCTTTGCTTCTGAAAACAAAAACAAAAAACCATTTAGCAGTAACAACTAGGCCTTGGCAAAATCAATTGCTTTCCCCAACAGGAAACTGCAGGTTTTTATACTCACAGCAGCAAGCATGGTTACCTCCACCTACTTAGGGTACATGGCAGTTAACTGATTCACAAGTATTTATTGAGAGTCTATTATGTGTGAAAGGACTGAAGAGATGGCATTCTCATTTTATACTGGACACTAAGTGATTGGTTAATTAGTTGACAGACTTCAAGATAAACCCTAAGGTTCAGGTTTCAGCTCTCCTCTGCTTTTCCTAATTGTACATTCTTCCCAAGGAGATACAGGAACCTAATTTCCACTGTTTAAATGCCTTTATTTCTTTCAAATCAAACTGACAAAGGCAGAACAGCAACTCGGTAGTTTTGGATTCTGGGGAAACAATGTTTGACAATTCTCAAAAAAAAAAAAGAAAGAGAAACACAAATGACCAACAAGGATATAAAAACTTCATTACAAATAAATGTAAATTAAAACAATGAGATACTATTTTTTCTCCTATTAAACAGATAAAATATTTTAATGATAATAAATACCCAGTGTTAGTAAAGATTCAGAGAAAGAAAGGAGTGCTCTTTTACACTTCTGGAGGTGGGTAAACGAGCACAGCATTTTTTGAGGAATATGGGTCAATACAGCAAAGTTTTGAAAACATGCATCCCCTGCAATTCCACTTCCAATAATGAATGCCAAGAAAATAATTAAGAATGTGTATACAGATTTAACTACAAGGTTGCACATTATACCAACGTTTGTAAAATACCAATGTTTATAAGAGTACAAAACTGAAGACAACCTAATAGTGGATTGGTTAAATTAACTATAGTACAGCAATACAACAGAATACTCAAAACAATGGTGTACATAGATGGATATCTACTGACATCGAATGAAGTTCATCCTGTTTTGTTAAATGAAAAAAGCAAGTTATAAAAGACTACCGTATGATCTCACACTTGTTTAGAAAACTGTGTTGTTGTTGTTAGTTGCCACCGCGTTGGCTCCTTCTCATGGCAAGCTTATGTATAAAAGAACAAAACACTGCCTGGTCCTGTGCCATCCTCACAATTGTTGTTGTATCTGAGTTCATACATAAATACATGTAGAAAAATACTGAGGGTGCACACCACACTACCACCAGCAATCTCTGATTTAAAAAAATTTATACCCGTTTTTTAATTTATCTGCAATGAACATGTACTACTTCTGTGATTTAAGGAAAAAAAGAAAAAGCCTAATTAAAAAAAGAAAATGCTTTGCTTAGGTTTGGTTTGTGATGTGAGGGGCCTTATGCCCCTAGAGGCATCTACTTGGTTTAGTTGCTTCTAACGTGAGTGGATAATTCCCACAGTTGATTTTCTGCAAATGCCATAATAATGTATATATGACCATTTGTCTAGAAAGCACAGTTCTCTCATTTTCTACTAGAGGTCATTCAGGCTCCCTGACAAGGAAGGAAACCACTTTTCTAGGGGAATAGGTTACTTGTTGAGTCCCTGGGTGGTGCAAACGGTTAAGCACTTGACTATTAGCTGAGACACTGGTGGTTCAAACCCACCCAGAGGCACCTTGGAAGACAGGCCTGGTGATCTGTTTCTGAAAGGTCACAGCCTGGAAAACCCTATGGAGCACAGTTCTACTCTGCACACACGGGGCCACCGGGAGATGCAACTGACCCAACGGCAACTAACAGCAAAGTTGGCTGCAGAACTGTGTCCACGGCCCTCACTTAATGGAGCACCCTTAGGATAAGTTTTGGGGTGATGGAGTAATCAACCAGAAAATAGATGCAAAGGAATGGACTGAAGATGGTAAAGTCTTTATTTATTCCTTATTTCAATCCTAGGCCTCTTGAATCTTAGAGGTAGAGATGACGGGAGGATCCCTGAAACCTGATTGTACAGATTCCTTATAAGATGGTGAGCCATTTCAAAAGAGAAATGACAGAACAATTGGAAGTCATCTTGAAGGTTAAACAACAAATCATGATAACATCAAACTGATACAGCAACCCCACAGCCATAGGAATAGTGGCATTTGAATGCAAGTTTGTATTCTGGATTGCTGTCACAATTCTGACTGAACCAAAAAACTCTGTGAGGAACGTACCCAGTAGGTTCAGTAAATGATAATCCTATCCATTTAAAAAGCCTTTTCTAAGAACAAAGGAAGAAAGTTACCTGCTCAGATGAGACAGACCTATAAACTCGTGTAATTTGACAAAGGCCTATCCCTCATACATCCCACACCTTCTACTCTAACTCCAAGAGATCCTGGGAAAACAGCTAGGACTGAGTTTTCTTTGGAGTGGCTGCCAGACAGGGTTGCAAATCTGATTTTAAACTTACAGGCTAGAGCAGGGAGGAGTTAATATAGAAAAACCTCATCAGGACATTACAGGAGAGGGGCCAAGTTCATCTTAACAATAAAATGTCACCATCCACCTAGAGAAGAAGCTCTCAAACATGGTGTTAGAGGTGTGTTCAAAGTGATGTGTTTCTGATCAGTGGTTTAAATACTGTAGATACAAGGTAAGCCATACAATGAAGCCACTCTCAGACACTTGTACGCTTTCCTGAATGAGAGAGGAAAAGGTGGTGTTTCAAATGTCAGCACACGAGCCTCATTTGTCATGGGTCATTGTGGCTAGAAGGCTGATACTGCTCTTCTAAAGCAAGTAAAAAGGGAGTCCCTGGTTAAGATGGAGCTCGAGCAGAACAGCAAGGATGAGGAGAGATTTGTGGAGTGTCCCAAAACTGGGAGAAAGGGAGATGAGGAAATGTGATGCAAAGTAAACTAAGCAAGAGGCATGCACTTGAGGATTACTCCTTTGCATGTTCCAGTGGACCTGCTCGTACTCAAAATTTTATATTAGTACAGAGAAGGCCGCAGAACAATTATACCAGGTTAAATGCCATTTCTTGTGGGGAGTAGTCTGTATAGTTGGGGGTGGAACTGAGGTCCCCTCCCCTCAGTTACTGATGGGAAACTCGTTCCAAGGCCACATAGAAACTGTTCTTGTCATCTAGGCAATGCCAACCAATTGGTCCAATTTCACAGTCTGCACAGACTAGAAACTTGATGTTGCCCACGTCCTTGGTGAAGCCCACGTTCTCAAAGACGAACATGTCATCAACCAGCCAGTGTTCCTGGAGGAGATCACCATCAGGATTGCTGCCATCAGCCAGCGCTGGCTTCTTTCTCATGGAGGGAAGGAAAAGCTGTAGGGGAAGAGAACATGAAAAACATGTCATGGATTGAACTGTGTGTCCCCAAAATATCTGTCAACTTGGCTAGGCCATGATTCCCAGTATTGTATGATTGTCCTCCATTTTGTGATATGTTATATATCCTGACCTCTATGATACTGAGGCAGGATCAGTGTGGGTTTATGTTGAGTTACAGCCTAACAAGTCACCCTTACTTAAGTCACATCCTTGCTTGAGTTACAGCTTTTATCTTACAAGAGGTAAAAGGAGAGAGACATGAGCAGAAAGAAGAACCTCACTACCACTAAGAAAGAAGAGCCAGGAGTGTAGCGTGTCCTTTGGACCCAGGGTCCCTGTGCTCAGAACCTCCTAGACCCAAGGGAAGATTGATGCCAAGACACATGGAGATCTCCAAGGAACGCTGGGCCCACAGATATTGAAAGGAGACAAGGACCTTTCTCCAGAGCCAACAGAGAAACACTTCCCCTAGAACTAGTGCCCTGAATTCGCACGTCTAGCCTCCTAAACTGTGAGAATAAACTTGTTTGTTAAAGCCATCCACTTGTGATATTTTTGCCACAGCAGCACTAGATAACTAAGACAGAACATAAATGCTGAACAATCATTACCCCCATTCTGCTTATACTTTATGCTGCCAGTAGTTTCCTGGAATGAAAAAAAGAGAAGGAGATTTATCACTAAGTTATAGACTAGGATGTTGGGTGGCTCCTCTGCTGTGTCTGTTCCACGCCCTGATTTTTAAGAGATACAGAAGAGGAGCTTCAGCTGGTTGCTGTGGTGACTTGGCTTCACTGCTATCCTCACCGTGACCTACAAGGCCCTACCTGGTCCTAATATCCTCCTAGCTCATTGTGTTTCAGCCACACTGGCCTTTTTGCCCTTCTTCAAACAAGGTAAGTCTGCTCTGCCATCAGCTCAAATATAACCTCCTCAGGCAGTCTTTCCTCACCAAATAATCTGAATTAGCCTCTCACACTGCCCATTGTATTTTTATTTTTAAAAACAGCTTTACTGAGGTATAACTGACACATACATTGCACATATTTTAAAGTGTATAATTTGGTATGTTTTGGCATAAGTATACACCGGTGAAACCATCACTACGATCAAGATAATGAGCATATTCATCATCCCAAATGTCTCCTTGTGCCCCTCTCACTTTACTTTTTACATATCACTTAAACACTCCCTGAAGTTATCTTATTAATTTATTGGCTTACTTATTTACCATGTGTCTCCCTCCACTGGAAAGCAGGGAATGTGCCTTTCTTGTTCCTTACTATATTCCCCAGTGCCTAGAATAATACCTGATATACAGCGGAACCTCAAATATTTATTAAAAGAATGAACCTAGGATATCTGGTTTTGATATACTCCATCACTGTTATGAATACACTGGATTTACCTTATAAAAAAGGAAAACCTAGTTCTACATTTGGAATACCATTCCTAAGATCCTTATACTTTCAATGTATATGACTTTCCAATCAACAGGAGAAAGCTTCTAGCAAACACACACAATCCCTTTAACTCCTTCCACATGGCTAGTTTATACACTTTTACTTGTCCCAGACTAGTGCAAAATACAATGCCAGCGAGGCTGGTTACCCCTCTGTTCCTCATCGTTATGGCTACCGTCAATATACTTATTTCCCACTCCATAAACACTTCTAATGCATTTCCGAACTCTAATGAAACAGGAAGGCCTCTGCGCTAGGCTGGCACTGGTAATCAGAATGAAAGCAAAAAAAAAAACAAACTTAACATTAGTCCAAAAAAGGTAAATGCTTTGGTAGAGATGAAGTAAGCCTCTCCTCAAATTGCAGTTAGGAGGTCCACAAGAGCTGCTAGAACCCTGGGCCGGATGTAGCTAGTAGAATATTAGAACAGATATCTATGCACTACCCTTTGCTGTGTCACCTGAGACTTCATCTAATGACGTCACGAAATATATAGTCCCTCCTCCTGTTATAGTTGTACAGTTATTCCAGTCACTCTTTTTGCCTCATCAAATGCTTAAATGTGCCCTTATGCTTTCTTATGAGCCCTGGTGGCACAGGGGTTAAGAGGTCAACTACTAACCAAAAGGTCGGCAGTTTCAATCCACCAGCTGTTCCTTGGAAACTGTCTGGGGTAGTTCTACTCTGTCCTATAGAGTCACTATGAGTTGGAATCAACTCAACAGCAACGAGTTTGGTTTAGTGTTTTAATGCTTTCTTCACCCTAAATGAAAATGGGAACAGGAGAGGTCAAGAGAGGGATTAAAATTCAGGAACCAGGAAACCTGGATTCTAGTCCTAAAAGTAACTTTCTGTGAGCTTCAATTTCCCTAAAAATATTTCTGGCCTGTCCCCTATATTGTAGGCATAAATTAAATCACATCTTAACTAAATGCAAGGGAAGTGAACTTTGGTGAGCTAGTTAAGACACCCAACTAAGAATTCAGTGTCTCCAACAAAACAGAGAGAAAATAAAAACTCCTTAAACATTATTCTTCAGGAGATGCCTGCCATGGATTGAATTGTGTCCCCCCAAAATATCTGTCAACTTGGCTAAGTCATGATTCCCAGTATTGTATGACTGTCTACCATTTTATCATCTGATGCAATTTCCCTATATATTGTAAATCCTATCACTATGATGTAATAAGATGGATTAGCAGCAGTTATATTGACAAAATCTATAAGATTAGATAGTGTCTTAAGCCAATCTCTTTTGAGATATAAAAGAGAGAAGCAAGCAGAGAGCATGGGGACCTCACACCACCAAGAAAGCAGTGCCGGTTCCTGCGCTGAGATGCTCCCAGACCAAGGGAAGACTGATGCATCACAAGGACCTTCCTCCAGAGCTGACAGAAGGAGAAAGCCTTCCCCTGGAGCTGATGCCCTGAATTTGGACTTGTAGCCTACTAGACTGTGAGAGAATAAATTTCTCTTTGTTAAAGCCATCCACTTACGGTATTTCTGTTATAGCAGCACTAGATGACTAAGATAGTGCCCAACAAAGGAGCACCAGCTCTCCTTTCGTTGTTCCCGTTTATAGTGCAAGACACCATCTGTGATGGTTAATGTTATGTGTCAACTTGGCTAGGCTATGTTTCAGTGGTTTCCCAGACACTTGTATGGTTGCTCTTCCATAATGTAATATAATGTAATAACCTTCCACGATGTGATCTGAGGTGATCAGTCAATCAGCTGACAGGGGAGTTTCCTTGGGGGTGTGGCCTGCCTCCAGAATATAAATGGATGTTCTGGCAAATCTCGCTGGACCTTGCACTCTTCTGTTTCCTGACCTCTGGATGCTGGGATGTAAGCCTGCAAAAATCTCTGGCCTGCTGCCTGACCTGCAGATTTTGGATTCACCAGCCTGCACAATCCTGTGAGCCAGCAGAGGTCTCCAGCCTGCCACCTGACCTCAGGATTTGAGCCTGCCAGCCATTTCCGTGAAGAAAATATCTCTCTTTCTCTCTCTCTATATATATGTATGTCTCATTGGTTTTGCTCCCTTCTAGAGAACCCAGACAAAGACACCATCTCTGAAGAGTCTCCCATTTGATTAGTGATTTAAGGGTACAGTAATACCATTATTAACCATCCATTCAAGACGTCGTACTGGGCCTGTTCCCTCTACTCCTCAACATTCTCATTTTTATTTAGATCCTGTAAGTCAGGCCCACAAAACTACCCTATTTTTACGCAAACAACGTGTGCTTCCTGTATTTGTTTACCAACCATGCCCTCCCCCTTCCTCCCAGGTATTTTCCTAAGCACAGCTATGCCAATTTTTCACATGTTGCTGTAAAAAAAAAATTAGCACAGTGTGCTTACCAAAATACCTGGGGGGGGGGAGAGTGCGGTTGGCAAATAAACATAGAAGGTGGAAGTTATTTGCATGAAAATATGGTATACCTACGTACACACCTATATCTGTGTATCTATGTGTGGATCTCAACCATTCATAGCAATGCCAAGGACAACTGCTAGCATCAGGTAATGGTATGTAATACAGTGGAAATACAACAAGGCTTTCTGGATAGACTATTAGGGTGGAACTCAAGAAATCAGTATCTAATTTGAAGCAGCTAACTCAGTTCCTTCGGGGCCAAAGTTGCCAGTTAGATCCCTGACCAGGTAGGTTAGCTATGCTCTATTTAGAACCCTAGCTAGTACCCCTAGTCCTGGACAACTTCCTTAGACATATGAATGAGATTCTGTTGATGGGTCAGTGGAATCCCTTTTGCTTTTTCAAGATCTGTTAATAGTATCCTTTTAAAAATATTTTTTCTCACTGTAAAAATACATTCACATAGAAAACTGGCAAGCATGCTATAATACAGATAAGAATAAAAACTGTTACAATAAAAAAGAATTAAAAAAAAAAAAAAACTACAATAGAGAAAACTTCTATTAACGTTTTTGTAGTTTTGCCCCTTCTGTGAGTAACTGTGGTGGTTTTAAAACATGTCCACAAATTCTTTGACAATCCTTCCATCAAGATTTGGAGTCTATGCCCCTCCCCTTGAACCTGGGCATGCAATTGTGACTGCCTTGATGAATATAACGTGGTGGAAGTAACAGGTGAGGTTAGAAAAGGCCGTGCAACTTTTGCCAGTTTTTCTTGGGATACTTGCTCTGGGAGCCTTCAGCCACCATGCAATTAGTCCACTACCCTGGGGCCGCCACGTGGAGAGACCTATAGAAAGACAGATGCCCAAAGACTGTTCCAGTCCTCAGGTGTTTGAATCTTCCCTGTCTACAGGAAGACAAGTGAGTCAAGAAGCTTTCCAGAAGACCCCTGTCATGGATTGAATTCTGTCCCGCAAAAAATGTATCAGTTTGGCTGGGCCATGATTCCCGGTATTGTGTGATTCTCCTATATGTTGTAAATCCTGCCTCTATGATGTTAATGAGGGAGGATGGGCAGCAGTTGTGTTAAGTGAGGCAGGCCTCAATTTACAAGACTGGATTGTGTCCTGAGGCAATCTCTTGAGA